GTTTGATGTTCTCAGGTATAAGAAGTTTAAGGTGGATAGTGATGACGATATTTCAAAACATGTTATGCCTTGGTAATTCGTTTGGGCTAAATCACATTGATGTCCTTATTCAGACACGAAGTGTTAGGGCAGGTGGTAATTGTGGGGTGGTTGATTACGCAGAGTATGGTGGAAATTCCCAAGATGCTAATCAAAATTTGGTGTGGACAACCAGACGGATTTGTTACCAACATATTTCCCTAACAGATTGAAGACGTTTTTGTTAGCTCAATGGGCGTATAGGATTACCCATATGGGCCAATGTTTCGATGGGGGAGCCAATGAATTCCGTGAAGTTCTATGCAAGTACGTCGTGGAACGTGGATTCCAATTCAAGTATGGTAAAATTAAATCCGTTCAAATTATAGTAGTGTGTAAGTTTGCAGTGTCTGCAGCTTGTACATGGTCAGTTTACGCGAGGGTGTTACTATCAAGCGGGGTGTTATGCATTAAGAGGTTCGATAGTGTGCACACTTGCAGCGCCGCTGTATGAACTTATAGGAACCCGCGTATGGGGTCTGATTTGGTGTCTACTGTTGTCATGGATCGGGTACGTGATTAGCCATTGATGCACCCTACGGATTTGGTGTTTGATTTGAAAAATGATTATGGATTGGAGATTAGTTAGCGGGTAGCATGGTTGGGCGTTGAGATAGCTAGGGGTGAAGTGTATAGGGATCACGTTATGTCGTTCGACGAACTTAGGTGGTATAGCGATTCCGTTATGGAAAAACCAAAGCATTAGTTGGTATAATGATTTCATTTACATTATTATTTGCATATAATAAAAACATTAGTTTTGTTTAAATGTGTATGCACCAATGTATACATTCGGAATGCAAACCGAATGCTGATGTTGGGCAGGATACATGAAATATGGACACTGTCATTGTTGTTAGTAAGATTTACTATTTATTAACGTTGCATGACAGATATTAGATTGGACATTGTAATTGTGTTAATGGCTAATTTTAGGTGGCCTGACAGACAACAATGATGATGTAGATAGTGCCAACGTGAGGACACCAATGTAACACCTACACCAATTTGGATGTAAACTACCAGCACGGTTATGACACATGGTAAACTTGATAGTGTAATGGACATTAACATCATAACACCAATTTGTTGATGACAGTGAACAATGAAGCACAACATATTGGTAGTTATGTAAGCATAGTGTCCAACATATATGGATAGGTTAGACATTGTCATTTTGTGAATTGCTAATTTCAGGTGGCTTAATGAACGATGATGATGTTGTAGATAGTGCCAATGTGAGGACACCAATGTAACAATTACCAAGATCATTTTAGATCAAAAACGCATTTCACCTTACGAACTACCAGGATCATTTACCAAAAAACTGTATACTTCGTTCATAAATATAATAATGCCCTAACACATATGTTCCTAATGTCTAACCAGCAAGTAACAAAGCAAAATCCACAGTTTTGCAAACCAAATTCATGTATAATTTGAAAGGCGGCCGGATAGGGAGGGATAGTGACATTAAGTCGTTCTAGCACGAAGTCTTCATATTGGGTCACTCAAGAACATCATCACTATTGCCACACGTAGACCAGTTGGTGTCAACCCATCCATCATCTTGCAAATCTCCTTTCCATGCACGTATTTCCTTATGGTGAAACACACGAAAATCGCACAGTCCAATGTGCAACGTAATAGCAAAATAACCAAATTAAACCTAGTCCGATTGGAAAATAATGCAACCTGCAATAACAACATAATCATCACTTATATCGAGATTCTGTTGTAGGCAATCCATGACCAGAACAAGCGGGCTGTCAAGATCTAACGTTTTAACATTATCAGCTATCAACATTGGTTTGACAAAGCAGGTGTGGTGTTCCACCGCCCACTGTTTCTGCAAAATCAATGTTACATATACATGAGACGTGTAACACAAAACCAGCCAAACACCGCCCCAAATAACACCTCAACGTACTTGATCACTACACAACTGTAGACTCGACAAAATTCAGACCCCACGGTGCCGCTACCAACCAACAACATACACACTATGTTTACATTACAAAATCAAATCAGATTAACATATACGCCTAACATTAAACATGAACGTGCACTACAACAAAAAAAGATTTTTATGGTGCCAAATGCAGGCTGTGGATACGATTCTACGACGCACAAGGTAACATCGTGTTATGACTAATCATGGAAAGTCATTCACTTTCAATGGCATGCCATAGTAAGCTGTAAAATCCCTTTAACAATGGATCTTGTAAGTCATGTTTGATTTTTCTACAACTATGTTTGCATGTCATTAAAAACACTTTAACAGCGGATCTTGTGTATTGTGTTTGATTTTTCTACAACTACTTTTGCATGCCATTAATTCTTGGGACAAATCACAATTATACTTGCTCATCGTAAAATATGTAATACGACGACTTATTATGCTTGCTGTAGAATACGCAGTTTTTTTTTTTTTTTTTATTTTTTTTTTTCAGTAAGTTCTATTTGACCAATTCTGTACAATCTAACAACCATCACAAGCAAGGCTTACAAAACATCAATCAACCACCAAAATATTGTTTGAAACATCAAAAAAAAAAATATCTATAAATTCTAAACATTCAACAATTATCTATACATTTCAAACATTCAAAAACTATATCCTTAAGTTCTAAACTATCTAAAAAGTTTAAACCGTCCAAAACTATTTAGAGATTATCAAAAACTACCGCAACAGTTTCTATAGTAGTTGCAGCCACAGTAAACCTACTTACTCCTATCACAGGGACGAGGGTGCCCAATGTATGTGCTACGGTACCTAAACCCGTGGCAATAGCTGAAACAACTAACCCTGTTGCCAATAAATATGAATTCATTAGAAAAAAACATTCATGTCATCTGATACTAAATGCATTATATTTGATAACATTTTAAGAAGAATGCTATTAAAAAATGTTATTAATTTTTTTTTGTTTTTTTTGTAGTAGGGATATATTACCTCTTTTGATGTCTAGTCTAAGATAATTCAACCATCTAAATTGCTACTCTTACCACATTGCTTCAAACTTACATTTATCAACAACAATAATAATAATAATAATAATAATAATAATAATAATAATAATAATAATAAATAAAAAGAGAGCAAAAATAGAGATCTAACTGAAATAATAATTGGAGAATGAGTGTTCCATCTCTTTAAGAGGTTTCTCCATTTGCCTTCTCCATGAACTTTAATATAAGCTGCAATATTCTATCTTTTAATAGAGCAGTTTGCCTCTTCTGCACATGACCTTATCTACCCACTCACTTGAGACTGTTTCTTTATCATCCTCTCTGTAAATTTGGCCATGACTACTGACTAGAGGCCAGGGAGGTGAATTTCCTTGTAGCTCATCAAGATTAAAACTTTGCCTCTTTTGCCTCAATAGCGCAGAGTTGTTCCGGACCTACACAAAAATAAAAAAAAAGATCATAATCAAAATGACTAAAAATTGAGCAAGACCAATCATAAATATTTATGGAATAAATCTAATGATTGTGCAACCATACAATATATCTAATCATTGTGTCACTGCACAACAAATCTTGTAACATCATCCTTCATATTTTTGATGATGTTTTATAATGGTATAAAACAAAGGTGTTTTTTCCTGCTCCCAACCCATCTACAGAGTCATAAAACTAGTTTTTAATGTAAGTGCTACTTGGACATATTTACAGGTAGATGTTTCAAATTTTGTGTACATATTTTACTGAACTTGGTGCTAAGTGGCCACTGTTGATATAAATGGTCATAAAAGCAATCTCCACAAAATAACTAGGAAAAAAAAATCATAATCATAACTATTTATCATGGTAACGATCAAATTTCCGTGCGTAGTCAATATTTTACCAGTTAATATACATCAAGAGCGATACATTTCATTATTTTTGTAAACGGGGTGATGTTTTACCTCTATGTTGCAACATCTCCCATTCGTGTCACTTTTCTGATCAGCCAATATATCTCCATTCTGTGGCCCAAGATGATAAGGTGAGGACACTGCATTACATGGGCTACTAGCAAGGTTTTGAAAAGCGGTTGCGGTCGCCGTAACGGTAGCGGTGACGCGGTTGCGGTTGCGGGGTGTAAAGGCCGTAGTGTAACGGTTGCGGTAACCGGAACCGTGAATTTTTTTATTTTTCTCACAATTTGAAAAAAATTTACCGATACGCATATTTTTTTTCCATAATCATATTTATTGCGTTAAAAATAAATATTGATCAATTTTTGTAAATTTTTAAGGATGATCCAATATATTTCATATTTTTAAATCATTATAAACTGAGTTTTTTACATTTTATTTTAATAAGTAATAACTTTATATTATATAAAAAATCAATTACTAACTATTATATATAAGATAAACAATGACAAAAGTAAGAGAATAAATAAGAGCCTAAATATATATATACATATTTTAACCAAACTAAATAGATAATGACCACACTTATTATTATTATTTTCAAACAATACATAGATAGACACACACAAACAAAATGGTTTAGTGATAGCAGTTGAATAGAATAGCATAGGTCTTACAGTTTCAACAAATCAATAACATGTTCTTCATCTTCCCTCTTCTCTCTCTCTATCTCTTGCCCCTCTATTTTCTCTCTTTATCTTCTCTCTTCTCTCTATCCCTCTTCCCCTATTTTCAGCTTTTTTTGTGTGTTTTTTCGAAAGAAACAGTTTGAAACCGTTACGTAACGGTGCGTAACAGGCCATTACGACACCGTTACGACCGCTATGGCAGCCGCTACGGCCGACACACCTGTGATTCTCAATCACACTGCAAAAGCGGCCATAACGGGTGGCGGTAAATGCCAAAACCGTTACGTAACGGCGTTACGTAACGGTTGCGGCCGCTTTTTAAAACCTTGTTTCCAGCCACTATTTTCAGCTTTTTTTGTGTGTTTTTTCGAAAGAAACAGTTTGAAACCGTTACGTAACGGTGCGTAACAGGCCATTACGACACCGTTACGACCGCTATGGCAGCCGCTACGGCCGACACACCTGTGATTCTCAATCACACTGCAAAAGCGGCCATAACGGGTGGTGGTAAATGCCAAAACCGTTACGTAACGGCGTTACGTAACGGTTGCGGCCGCTTTTTAAAACCTTGGCTACTAGACACTTTCTGCTGTTGCAAAGGCTCAACTGGCTCTTCTTTCCTTGCCAAGGCTGCTTTAAGAGTAGCAATTTGAAATTATAATTCAAAATATTTAGTGAAATGAAAGAACTAAAGAAGAGTCAAATTTTCTTATGCAATCAAAGATAATGTAAGGACCTGCTCTTTGAGCTCTTTAACATCTGCGCTATCTTTGTTTACACGAGCAACACCAAGTTCAATGGTGGCAACACGCTCGGCAAATTTGAGGTTACTTATTGTTTCTCCAACAGCATCGAGCTCGGGGCTTATGTGAACAAACATTAATGTCTTGGCCTGGCCCCCTAAAATGAAAATACAACCACAAAACAAAAATAATGGACAATGAAAAACAAGAGTGAAGGTTGTGATAAATGCATTTGTCTAGGCTTACCAAGTGAGTCTTGGAGTGATTGTGTGAGTTTGTTGTTCTTGTAAGGGACGTGTGAATTCTTCTGAGCAAGGGAAGAGACCCCATCACCCAAAGCAGAAAGAGATTTGTTTATATGTTGCGCCACTTTTAGTCTGTCTTCTGCAACTTTATATTTGTCTACCCTCTCGCTTCCTGCCAGATCAACTAAATGCATACAGCCATGAAGAATAGTTCCAGATATCAAGTCCTTTCCTTGGACATGAACAGCCAAGCAACTGCAAATTGATTAGTAGTAAAAGTCAACAATACCAAAAGAGATATGCTTAGAGGCATGCATAAGAGGAATAAATCCACACACACCTATAAATAAAAACAGATGGAAAATACATTAATGAACATATATAGAAACTACATACCAGCTTTTGTAGTGTGAAGAGTTTGTTTCAGCTCCTACAGAAAAGTAAATTAACATTCATGCACATATATAAAAGACAACAAACAAAAACTGATGGAAAATACAATGCAACTAGGTCATACTATAATATCTCTGTTCTGTAGTTCAAATATCATCTTCTGTTTCAGAAATAGTTTTTCTGATTCCTCGTTAGGGACATGGTTTCTGTGAAAGCATTCCTCTCTTTACTTGCATGAAACTTTTCTCTTCTACCTACAACATTCCAGAAACGAGAGAAAAAAATCATGCTATAAATTGAATTTTAATGAAAAAATGTTAAAGATATGCATCAAATATGTGCCCGAATAAAATAGCTAAATTTTCCGCATAAATCTGACAATCAACAAACCTGAATATCACCAGAACCATGCTTCAAGAGGGATTTGTTGCCCTGAGAAACGATCGCATCTTTTGAAGTTTTTTTCTTCTGTTAAAATACATTATACAAAAATTAATAACTAATAAATTTAGTAATTAGCTAGAATTTTTTTTTTAAAACATGCTTCTAAATGGTTCTTACCCACATCAATTCTATATCAACTGTTTAATGTCAATGCACAGTGTGAACATTCTTTAGAGCTGATAAACATCTCCTTGAGCACTTCAAAATCTTCTTTAAAACTAAAACAAGTGGTAACGAATAACAACATACTAACTTAGTTTGGCTTTCAATGCGATGCTCAAACTCTTCCACAACCTTAGCACAGACTCCACCAGTTGTTGTAAGAAAAAGAGCATTATTGCAATTTATGTGGATTGGACACTCGGCATCCCATGATGGAGCACCACAGTATAGATTATAGAAGACTATAGGTAGTTTCCCCATCTCCCCAAGCCTGATTACATGATTGATTTTCTCATTAAATAATCCAATTAGGGCACTGAGGACATTAACAACTTACTGTTGGCACTTCTTCAGGCTTCTTATCTAACAGAATTGCTCGAACAAGCATACTCAAAGAAGAACTACACTGAAAATAAGCACGTATAAAAAAAAGTAAATTCTTTTCTCTCAAACATAATAAAACAACCATGGACATATAGTGGGTGTTTGGGAAGTAGGTTTTTATGTAGGTTTTTTTAGTTGTAGAATATTATCGGAGAAATTTTTTTTGTATTTAGGAAGATAGTTGGGTTTTTTTGTGGTTGGATGTGATGTTTGTGAGAGAAAAAGTGAAATGATTATGGGGTTGGATGTGATATTTTGTTTGGATGTCTTTTTTTTGGTTTTGCAAAAAAGTTCGTCTTTTTGTGAAAAAAATCAAAAAAAACCCAAGTCCCAAACTTCCCAAACACCACCATATCACTATCATCAATTCCTAACCTTATTATTAGTAGGGCTGCAAATGAACCAAGTTGTTCATTAACAAGCTCGGCTCATTAAGGGCTTGGCTCGGCTTGTCAAATTCGGGTCGTTTATCTTTATTTAAATTATATATTAAATGATAATATAAATAATTTTTTAATTTAAATAATAGAAATAATATTAAAAAAAATTATCGAGCTGAGCTCGAGTTTCATTAATGTTAACATGCCGAGCCGAGCTGGAGCCCAATTTCTTATTGAGCCGAGCTCGAGCTTAATAAATGAGCTCGATAAATAAACGAGCCGAGCTCGAGCCCAACAAAGCTCGGCTCGGCTCGGCTCAGTTCGTTTGCAACCCCAATGATTAGAATCGAGGTTAGCGGTCATAGCATTCAAAGATTTTTTGCCCATTGACAAGTTCCTTGTCAAGGAACCTCTGGATGGTTTTGAATTCTTTCGCATAAAATGTTTTCTAGATGTCACAGTTTTTAAATTTCCCCCAAATTTCCATACTTCATTTCTACCTGTTTATTTCTAGTCACTGTAGGATGTTAGTGCTAGAACATAAATCAAACGATGTCCAAACTAAGTGAGACCAAAACCATTGGTAAGGTATTTGAGTTAGGGATATTTTATTAGAAGGATGGAAAGTCTAAAAATCACATCAAGGGGGTGAAAATACAGGCTCAAGCAGTGCTGGTCTATTCCTGTTGCGTTTTAGAAAAATGATCATAACTCTCTCAATAATTAATATTTTTCAATGATTCTTGTGTAGATAGAAAGGTATCTCATATATCAAACATTTGGTATTGGTTTCACTCAATAAGGATATTTTTAGAGAAAATGGCATAGAAACAAAGTGAGGGTTAACTGCTACTCCCAAAAAATCTATAGGATCCAACAGTAAAGACAAGAGGTTTCCAAAACTCAAAATGCATCCCATGATCTTACAAAAATGTGAGTATACCAATAACTCGTTGATAGAGGGTATATCAAAATTTCAGAGCAAAATGATTTTTTTTGTTTTTTTTTTTTGGGTGAATTTTAAAAAATCAACAAAGTTAATGCATATGAACAGAATCAGAGCATACAGAGGCTAAAATCATACCAAGTGTATTCAATCAATTTTCACCATACACATACATGATACAAAAATACACAATCAAAGCAACCAAATATTAGATATAGGGGAAGAGAAGGCAAGGGTGTCCCAAACCATAAAATGAATTCCTAAGCTAACACATTAAGTTGAAACCAAAAAAGGGAATATACCTCAACTCCTTTATAGTTGAATCCTTACCGAGTTTTAGTGTATAAGTTGAAACTTTAGGAGGTCAAGGTAGCCAATCAGCCTCTTCCTTATTTTCACAATCAACAACCTCTATGAATTTCTCATTCTTATCTACCTTCTCAACCTAAATTCAAATTAATACCAATACTCAAATCAATTTCAAACAAAGACCCACATTCTAAGTTGCTAAATCATTCAAATTCAATAAAATTTGCAAAAAAGTAGAGAGCTTTACAGTGGTATACGAAAGCTTTCTTTGTTTGGGAGAGAAAGCTGGGGATGAATCTGAACCATCATCTGCAAATTCAAAAAATACAAATGTCTGAGACATATATATATATATATATATATGTATATAGAGAGAGATATAATGAGAGAGAGAGAGAGAGAGACCGTTGAGGCAGACAACATCGAAGGGTTGAACACGGTGGAAAGCTGTGGGGGTGGAGAAGAAATAGAGTATTAGAGAGTAAGGTGGTGAAGAGAAAGGCACTACAGAGATACCAGTATATGGAACAAAAGTTAGAGGGTTTTTTGAGATAAATATACCTTTAAAATCTAGGAAAATAGAAGATTTTTTTTTTTTTTTTGAATTTCAACTTATTTTACCAAACAATTTACAATTCTAGCTGATTTATCAACTAACCCCTACAATTTTAACATAATTTTTCACTCAATTTTTCCTAATTACCCATCAATTTTTTCTTAATTCCATATAAAAAAAACTTACACATTCATATTTTGGCAAACAATCCAACAATTTCACTCAATTACAGTAAAATTCCAATTAAATTTCATCATACAACAAACAAAAATAGCTGCCTACCTCTCTTTAAAGCAGCAAGAGCCTACTGCTTTAAAAAAAATAGCACCACAGTCGCATACATCAACCAGCAAAGAGACATCAATGATAGACTTTGAGGTCCAAAATGAGACACTTTAAACTCACAGCAGCCGGATTCAACTCGCTCACATCTCTGTTCAATACTAAATCCACCAAACCAATAGCTTTCCTCACAATTGCATTCGAACAAAGCTAAAAAAGCAAAACTATATGGTCCATCATAGGCACATCAATCATAACATCATAACGAGGCGAATTCACAATCACCCATCTGAGGAAATCACAATCTTCAGCCATAACAGAACACAAAATGCTCCGAAGAACTCTTTACCAATAGGCAATATGATAATCCCTCCACGACTCAATTTTGCTCCTAACAAGCCACAACTCCGAAGGAAGAAGCCTAACACAATTCCTAGAAAAACCCTTAATTTCACCATTAACACTGCCCACAAAATTTGCACATTGAATCGATAGAATACCTGGGAGAGTAAAGGTTTCACTCAAACTATCTTGATTGACAGAGCTAACTATGCCTGGGTAATTACGGTAGAAGAAATTGGGACTGAAGTCGCGATATTCATCGAGGGAGAAATAAAGGTTGGAGTTGGGATTGTGTAGGGTTTGAAGGAAGCGGTTCTAATTAAAGAGTTGTTGGAAGGGTTTGAGAGTGTTGGGATAGCGCAGTGATTGGAGTAGGAGAGGGTCGAAGTTGAGAAGGGGGGAAGGGAAAGAAGGGCATTGGAGGAAGTGGCGGAAGAGGGATTCCGGCGGAAGGTAGTGCTGGAAATTGAAAGGACAGGGGCAGAGGGCAGTGGTGGTGGCAGTGACGGTGGTGGGGAGGGGAGTGAAGATGGAGTGAAGGGTGGTTTTCGAAGAGATGGATGAGGTGTTTGAGTATTGAGAGAGTGGTTGGGAGATCGGGAGGCTGCGGCAGAGGCGGACGTGGCGGTGGTGAAGTGATTGAGTTGGTGGTGGTAGTAGAAGAGGGATGGTGGTGAAGATGAGAATAGAAGAAGTTAGGGTAAGGATTATGGTTAGGGTTAGGGTTAGTCTTAGGGGGTGAAGGAAGAAAGGTAAGGTATGGTGATAGAGATGGAGGATTTTTCAGAGTGTCTCTTCTTCTTCTTTGTCGCCCTTCTCACTGCACAGAAAATGCTTTGAGGTTATTTTTTTTTTAGATTGATGTTGGGGGCTAAAAAGTTAGGGGCTCTTGATTGTTTCTTTCCTTTTTTTTTTTTTTTAAATTTTTTGGTGTTTGACGCTCAAAATTTTATTTTGGCGCTATTTTTTTTTTGGTCATCCCTTTCACGACAGCAATTGCACGTCATGAAAAGTGTAATATTTTAAACGACTGGCTTTTTGTGCATCATGGAAAGTGCAATTTTTAACAGCTGATTTTTTGTGCGTCGTGGTGAAGTGATTGAGTTGGTGGTGATGGTGGAGATGAGAATAGAAGAAGTTAGGGTTAGGATTATGGTTCGGGTTAGGGTTAGGGTTAGTGTTAAGGGGTGAAGGAAGAAAGGTGAGGTATGGTGATGGAGATGGAGGATTCATTACAGTGTCTCTTCTTCTTCTTTGTCACCCTCCTCACTGCATAAAAAATGCTTTGAGTTTTTTTTTTTTTTTAGATTGATGTTAGGGGCTAAAAAGTTGGGGGCTTTTGATTGTTTCTTTCCTGTTTTTTTATTTTTTGGTGTTTGACGCTCAAAATTTTTATTTTGGCGCTACTTTTTTTTTTTTGGTCGTCCCTTTCATGATAGCAATTGCGCGTCGTGGAAATGTAATATTTTAAATGACTGGCTTTTTGTGCATCATGGAATGTACAATTTTTAACGGCTAACTTTTTGTGCGTCGTGAAATGTTCAATAATTTAAATAGTTGGTGTACATATCATGTATAGTTGATGTATTTACGGCATGCCATATGCACGCCACAGAAAGTTTTATTATTTACGGCTAAAATTGCAAGCCATAAAAAAAATAACATTGTTATTAGCATTCACAACCTACGCAATAGACACATCATGATTGGGAAATTATTTACGACATGCAAAAAAAGCAAGTCGTAAAAATGAGAAACCACGACTTGCATTTACTGTATGTCATTGATGTGAAGTCTTAAAAATCTAGTTTTGTTGTAGTGGTGTACTACTTCACACCTATTCAAAATAACATCAAGCCAGACCCCAATAATTTTGAAACACATAGAGTCACTAACACCCAACAACATCAAAATTACTATTCTCACAATCAATCATAAATAATAATAATAATAATAATAATAATAATAATAATAATAATAATCCAGCATACTGTTTGAATATGGTATACTCAATATCTGTACACAATAACATCAACCACCACTCATATTTTCGAAACCCACAGTGACAATAACACCCAACAACATCCACATTACGTGATATATGAACAACATACCATGATATTGCAACATTAACTACGATTTTGTTGTATTTCACATATACAAAATAACATCACGGATATCCATACCTATCGCCATCGCATGCCCAAGAACACGAACAGTGGCACCGATGTGTGATTGATGTGAACTCGTCGACGTTACGTCCTGTAGACACCCCATTTTTGACCGTCCTCAAGACTTAGACGTCATCGTTTGAACACTCGATAATCATCCATGCTCATGTTCGTTTTGAGTTCTCGGGGGTCTCGGTCATGCACCTTGTCTCAAGATCTCTCAACTTGTCTGTTTTGTGCTTGGTTGTGGCCCAAACACTTGTGTTTTTGCTTCTGAGGGAAGATGGTGGCTTGTTGTCCATTCCCTCAACACATCGGCCAAGGCTTGAAGCCCTCGCCAAAACTGTTGGCCGATCGGCACTTTTTTTGGCCGGTCGGCACTTATGTTAGTCGATCGGCCATATTTTCTGGCCGACCCCTGTTCATCTGCTTTATGCAGATATTTTATGCCAGTTGTCATAGCTGGCATGCACAATTCACATCCTCCATACACGTGTATGGAGGGATTTGATTCAATTGCTTAGCTTGCTCAACAAGCTTAGGAATTGAACTTCTATAAAGAGGGAGGTCCTCCTCCCTTTCCAGAGGTTCAGAAAGTTGAGAGAAGAAGATATATATCACTCTCTCTCTATATCTCCCTCTCTCTATATTTGTGTGTGTATTTGTGCTCAAAAGTGTATTTTGTTCATACTTTTGCACTAGAGCACCTAATAGAACACCATCCTTTGGTTGCTGAGGCCCTTAGGAGTTGTTTTTAGTGTTCTTGAGCTGGTTTTGGTCAGAGGAGGCTGCTGGAGTTGTGTTCTTGAAGGTGGTCTTCAACGGTGAGCTTTTTTACTTTTAAACCCTCATTCTTGCTTAAGCTTTTAGACCTACTTGCTTATTGTATTAAGCTCAACTCTTAACTGATAAAAGTTCTAATTTTTTATGCTTTAGATCTTTGTTTAAGATCACTGTTAGGCCTTGTTAGGCCTTGTTTTAGGCCATCCCTTTTGGCCCTTGTTCTTGGCTTTGCATGACCTTTCTACCACTGAAATCCAGAGAATTTTCAATGGTGGAAAGGTAGTTTTGAGGTCTTAAATAGGAGAGGGTCATCCCCTCTTCTTGTTGTTTTGTATGCTTGCATAAGTGGCTTATGTTGATAGCACACTGGCTTAGCTTGTTGTAGCTTCATTTCAGTATGTATTAGGCTTTGTTTTGCCATGATACAACACTATTTTTGCTTGGTTTTGTCACTCCATGCATGCCTAATACACTTGTGGTGTCAATCACACAAACTAGTCTTATATGCTTCATGTTTGAGCATGTCTTTCTAGCTTATGTTGACTTCATTTTAGTGGGTTTTTGGTGTTGTTTTAGCATGCCATGACTCTGTTTTGGGTGGGTTTAGTTGGCTCTTACATGCTTCATGTACTTGTCTTGCAATCCTCTCATTTGCCTTAACCTGCATCATGCCTTAACATGTCATTCTAGCATGCTTTTGGCTTAACTTCAAGAAGCTTTTGTCCATGTTTTAGCATGCTCTAGCTCTAATTTAGGTTTTTTTAGTCATGCATGATTTGCTTTGTATAGCCATGGTTCAATCTAGCTTGTTAGCTTTTGAGTATTGAGTCCTCTAGCATGCATTACTTGGCTCATTTCAATGATTTGGCATCATTTGTAATGTTATTTCAGTTCATGTTTCATGCTCATATACTTGCACTTATCACCCCTTTAATGCTTTAAAGAGTTGATGCCTTATGCCTCATGAATGGACCATTGTGTATGTCTCCATGCTTAGGTCTTTGGGATGCCATCTAAGTGGGTATTTGGGCTTATTTTGATATGTCATAACTCGATTTTTCATTGGACAATTCATGCCATGTTTGGTTTTGATAGGTGTAGTGTAACACCCCCTTTGTAGCCTTGCATGCCTCATGCCTTTTGGAGTTGTATTCTAGCTTGTGTAGGCTAGTTTTGAGCATGTTTTTGGTCTTGTCTTGACCTGCCTTGGGACTTTTTTGAGTGCCTTTGGCCCTTTGGGGCTTGCCTTGCATGGTCGTGGTTTGAGTCCCTTGGCTAGCCTTAAGCTTTGGCCTTTCTTGTATGCTTTGCTTGCTTTGTTTGGTTGGTTTGACACCTTTCCATGCATGATTTCAGAGATTATAATGTTTGTCACATGTCCATATATGTCCTCTTTTAAGTGCTCTTGAAAGTTTCCCTCCTATGCCTAGGTGTTGAACCATTTACATGTGCATGTTTGTTTTGCATTTTTATGCTTCCAATTCATAACTTTGGCCACTGATTTTGGGCATGGCTGAGGTCCGTCCCTCTTTAGTTTCAGTCCATTTACCCTGTTGTTCAAAGTTGTTACTTTACATCATGCTTACATGCTTGTTGCATGCTTGTCATATTGCATGTTGTCACATGCTTGCTAATTGACATGTTGTTGCATGCTCATCCAACTTGCCTTGCATGTTGTCACATGCTTGTTACATATTTAGTTCCATTGCATGTTGTTACATGCTTAGGTTGCATAGCATTGTGTCTGCATTGCCTTGCCTCTTGATCACACATGATAGAGGTTAAGGTCCCTTATGTGTTTCGTGCATTTCATTTGATATTGAATTGCACCCTTGACTCTTTTGGCCATCATGCATTGAAATGCGTGATTGATGGTCCGAGGGTCGGGAACTACACTCCTCTAAGTCTTAAACATGATAAGGAGTGTAGTTGAAAACATTGTCTTGTAAATGCATTGCCATACTCTGTTTGTCCTCTACTGTAGCAAAAAAGAGCATTTTACAGTAAGGGATGGCCGATCGGCCATCTTCAGTGCCGGTTGGCTAAAAGTGTTTGGCCGTTGGCTTCATATTTGGTCAATGACCTGTTTATCCTAGCCGATGACCATGATTTTCGGCCGATGGCCTCCCACAGTGCCCATGGGGTGAATCAAAAGTGTGTTGGAAATTTTCACACTTTGCAGAGGTACAGAGCAGTGCAAACAGAGGCAACATGAGGCATGGCAACGGATTTCCGAGGAAAGCCGACCGAGCATGCACTTGTCCCTCTCCCCAAGGCCTCTTTACCGTTTTTTGTAGCTTAATTAATTTGTTAATTATTTAAGTGTTGTAATAATTAGTTGTAGCTAGTTATTCATTTGATTGTGTAATAATTAATTAGCTAGTTAGTTAGTTAATTAGATGGTTTGTATTATTCTTTCAGTCTCTCCTTTGAGAGAGCCAATTGGTGTAATAAGCGTGCGTGTGTGTGATGCATGTCTTCCAACCCCTATTTCTTTCTCCCTTTTACTTAACCGCTTACGATGGTTAGTTTTAGGGCATATTTCATTTAGCATACCTTATGCTCGCATGTTTTATCCTTTCATCTGTATCACATGCACCAAGCTCGGCGCATCATGCTAATTGCATTGCATTTCAGTCCTTACTTGAATACATGTATCGAATTGTCGAATTTCATATGCCGTCTTAGAATAGCCGAGCCTATTCTAGTTGCATTTTGCCTGTGTCGCATTACCCATCTTGAAATGAATTAGGATCTTGTATTGATTACTAACTAGTTCTTTGTTTTGGCTCGGAGTACACTGTGAGTGTTTATGCTTTAGCATCTTACATGTGTGTGAATGTTAACATGACAGCATGCTGTAGACGCACCCTCGGGCTTCATGCTTCTACA